AGCTTGGTGTCGTTAGCCCCCGCGTGAAGCACGACCGCTCCGGTGGTTCTAGTCAAGTCTGTTCATGTCAAGTCTGTTCATGCCACGTCAAGTCTGTTCTAGTCAAGTCTGGTCAAGTCAAGTCTCTGATTATTGTTTGGATGTTTGGATTTCACCTGTTTGACTAAACTGCACTTGGGTTCTCACTACGCTCGCCTTCAGTGGACTGAATTCATTACATATATACAATAAATCATGTATTGTGACAAAAACCAAAATATAATATAAAACATTTTCAGATCCACTTCTTTAACTAAACATTTCTAATATTGGGCAGCAGACATCCCATAATAATAAAGAAATCAATAAAAATATTTAAAATCTTGTTTTCAAATGCTACATACTGTAGTATATAATGTAAATAAAAAAATTCAAGTTGAAAATATATTTAAATGAAACCTTCAAATGCTCAAATACTGTATATTACAAAATATATTATACTTCAAGGGGCAGGGCATATCCATAGTTGAGAGTGCTAGTTACTACTGGAGCTGCCAGCTTGCTAAGTTTCAAATGATTATTTAACAGCAAGCACAAACTATGCAAAGGTGGCAACCTGAAGGTGCACTCAGTGTCCGAATTCACTCACTTGTTTTCATTCACTCCTTCAAGTGGACTATATTAGTGTTCTAATATAGGGAATAGTGAATAAGGGTATGGGGGAAATTCTGAACACAGACTTATTCTTTACATTACTATGCAGGATTTTGTGTCTCATTTGATTGGGTGGACCAGCCGTCAATCTTAGTGGGGCAGTCACCTGATCCTCAAGCAATGCCAAGTATGCCATTCTCCAACCCAGTTCAAACACAATAAACATCTTTAATACAGACACAGATTACATAAGTCTCATGAGCCAAATATACATCTGCGTATATCTGCGTTGTTATTCAGAGAAACTTCACAGCTCGAGCTTTAATGCAGCTTTTCTTACTCTTAATCTATTCCCACCAACCCCCGAGAATTTATGACAATTTAACACAAATATAATTGCAACATAACAAAAAAAATTATATTTGTTTCTGACCCGTTAACTAGGATGCTGCGCATTGAATTAAGCAAAATGAAATCACGTGACAACAAAGTAGCATACTATTAATTGAAACATTTACTAAACTAATTAATATTACTAATTAACTGTGGCATTCAGTGGTCAGATATTCATATGAATAATGTACTACTGACCACTGAACCATGTATCTTACATATATTTAAACTTGTGTGAAGTCTCATATCAATATTTTCACATATTATTTCCCCTAGTGTCCTCATATGGCAATGTGGTTAATTGGTTTGAGGGTCTGATGGTGATGTCTGTTTTTCCTTTGATTGTTCAACCTTTCTTGATGAGATTTCGTAAACCAGAATAGTGACAGTAGCCATGCCTACCAGAACAGAGAGGGCCAACTGGATCACAGCTTCAGTAAAACCACAACACTGGACACAATCTAAGGGAAGAAAACAACAACACAGAGAATCAATTATGCATTCACTCAAACAGACGTTAATTCTTTTAACACCAAAAGCAACTGCATATAAACCCTAGAGGGCGCAGGCTGATAGGTTCCATACATGCAACCTGCCAATGAGATTGCTTGCTCAGCATGTAAATATTCTGGCTCGGTGTTTGCTGTAGGCTAGTCCTGCAGTGTGTTATCAGAATTCCTCTGAAATTCAGCCTCTTAAGATAAGTGAATGTTCTTTTGCATGTATCAATGAAACAAACATACACACTAAAAATCATGTTCGATGCTTTACACGTTACGTTGATAGAAAGATTGGATAATTAAGCATGCATGCAAGCTGGCTGAGTATGCATTTTGAGTTAATAGCAGCAGTAAATGCACCTGTTCAAAAATCATGTTTAATGTTTTGCAAATTGCACATGATGCAAGAAGTGAATAATTAGGCATAAGCAAAGCTGGCATGAGCATTATATACACACACAACCGCTGCCTGAATTCTTTGATTAACAATATATATATATACACAGTTTATATATATATATGCAATTTTTTTTATTCTATTAATAGATTTTAACAGAAAACAAAGTTATTATTCGATATGACTAACAGTGATCAGCTCATCAAATAATCGCTAATATCAGCGCTGCTGTACCTGAACATGGTTGACAGAGTTGACTGATGTCCAGATGTGTGGTCTGGTTGCTGATGGGATTGTTGAGCACACAGCTGTAGGTGTTTTTATCCTGATATTCCACCTCCAGAGGTAGAGAGAGACTGATGCTGAGATCAGACACACTGATGCTGGACAATAAACTGTTTCCTTTGTACCAGGAGAGAGTCACATGACCCACATTCACCACTGAACACACCAGTGAACAATATGATGATGATGATGATGATGATAATGATGATGAAGAACATTGTGGAGAGTCTCTGTTGATGACAGGAACAGGCAGACGAGCTGAAATAAAGAAAAATAAGAATATAAATGAAGGGGTGAATAAGTGACAATGAACTGTTGACATTTTGTAATGAAATACATGTTTTATTATATTCTTACATGAGGTACATGTTGTTTATCTGAAAAGTGCCTATTAAACGATCTTGTGTGTAGAGACTTTCTGTTGTAGACTTCCTTAGAATACTTCCTCAGACCGCTTTATTTTTTCATGAAATATTAGCATTTCTTTTTCTGGCCCATCTCCAGTCTACATACAGAAAAGAATGACAGTCCTGTACTGGCCAAGATCTGCATTACACCTGCATTTGTTTTGAGTGGTGCTTTTAAAGGGTTAGTTCACCCAAAAATGTAAATTCTGTCATTAATTGCTTGCCCTCATGTCGTTCCAAACCCGTAAGACCTTCATTCATCTTCAGAACACAAATTAAGATATTTTTGATTAAATCTGAGAGCTTTCTGACCTTGCATATACAGCAACGCTCGTGAATGATGCAGTAGCCAGCGTGATGAAGTAAACTTGGATGAAAACACAGCATGTATAGCGTGCCAAGTTTGACACGGAAGAGAAGAAATGGTTGAATAATGTCATTATTTTTGCTTTCTTTGTGCACAAAAAGTACTCTCGTAGCTTCAAAAAAATTATGGCTGAACCACTGATGTCACATGGACCATTTTAACGATGTCATTATTACGTTTCTGGACCTGGGAACATTTCAGCTGCGTTGCAGTCTATACAGAGTCAGAAAGCTCTCAGATTTCATCAAAAAATATCTTAATTTGTGTTCCGAAGATGAACGAAGATCTTATGGGTTTGGAACGACATGAGGGTCCTTTAAAGGGATAGTTAAGTAAAAAATGAAAATCAATCATCCCTCAAGTTGTTCCAAATCTGTATGAGGTTTTTTCTTCTGTTGAACGCAAAAGAAAATATTTTGAAGAATGCTGGTAACCAGACAGTTGATGGTAGCCATTGACTTACATAGTCTTTTATTTTCTAGAATGGAAGTCAATGGTGACCATCAACTGTCTGGTTACCAGCATTCTTCAAAATATTTTCTTTTGCGTTCAACAGAAGAAAGAAACTGATTGTGACTCACCATAGACAGAAACTTTGAAACTGTAAATGTTCTCTCCTGAGAACTGATAAACTCCAGAGTCTGTGGTTCTGGTATTTGTGATGGTCAGTGTTCCAGTCTTAATGTCCAGCTTCAGTCTGTCTCTGAATCTCCCATCAGGACCATCAGATGGGGAGAAGTTCACAGCCCCGCTGTTGATTGTAGCTATAGGAGGGCTTTCATTTCCAAACCGCCATATTATCACTGAATCTCTCTGTATTTTAGCATCAATCTGTAGAGTAACTGAATCTCCCTCCATCACTGACACTGACTTCACTGCATCTGCAAATACTGGAGATCAGAGATAGTTTTATTGAAGTAATAATAATTATCATAAAGTTGGTTGAATCAGTTAGCTGACACTTGATTTGTATTTTTGAAATTATGACACATATCAGAAATACTCTCTTTGCCTCATACTTTGAACATTGAACTAAATGTCTGAAAATGTAAAATGCAGTGAATTAAGTTTTTTTATTTTTTCTCTTTCTTAAAGGGGTCATATGATGCGATTTCAATTTTTCCTTTC